CTGGTGGTTGTTTCTTGTTGTAAGTGAATGCAACGAAAAGACCCGGAAATAACGAATAATGAAACAATTCATATATTGACATTTCGTGCTCATTTCCAAATTTCTGCTTTGTTATTCCCATCATCCGGTAACCACAGGATGATCCACAAGAAAGGTGGCAGGATTCGAACCTATGGCCGGCCCGCCCCTGACCTGCTGGGTTGGGTGGCCGGGTTAGCACCCCTCGTCGCCTCTGTACCCGAAACAGATGCGCTGCGCTACCCAGCGCGTAACCTTGTCTCCCCTACTCCTCTTCTGGTTGTGCCATTACCAATCGCGGGTAACCCCCGGTCCGGCCGCCCCTGACCTAAGAAGAACGATTATCCTTATGACCCAATAAGGACCAGCTTACTTACTTCTCGAGCGATAGTTCCACGATCCCGACCAGCAACTTGTTGGGAGTAGGGGCATCAAAGCTTGCCCAACCTAGTAAAGGGGCTTGGAAATAGAGGGTTTTCTGGGGGAGATACAGTTTCCAGGTTGGATTTTTTAGATCAAATAGGACTAGTTGGGTAGATAGAGGTGGTAAAATCTAACCTTTGCATCGATGTTTAGCAGGGCGGGTCGCTTGAGTGTCAAAACCAAGCGGTGGTTGTTTTTCCTTGGCTTATCGAACCAGCGTATGCCCATTCCTCCTTTGATGACTCCCAGTAGAGAAAGCCTAAATTTGCCGATGTGGATTGAAAGGAAGTTAGGGATGGACATAAATCTTTCCGCCTATCCGGAGTGTTGGAAATAAAGCCATTTTTTTTTTTTTTTCCCGATCATTGGAAGCAATCTTCACTGGCACAAGGATCTCCTCACAGCAACCTCCACTACGATAGAACCCGACAATGAGTTTACGAAGGCTTCGAGTAGTGCGGGATAGGCTAATCACCAGACTGCTCTGGAATAGGTTAATCGCTGGAGACAAGAACGAGTGAATCGAGTTTAGAGAGCATGCCTTACTCTAATAGGGGGGCGTAGAGTTTCTAAGTGAAGGCAAGCGCTACTATATATGTAATATATTAGCTGTCAGCAAGGCAGGTCCGCTATAAAGCCTACCGGCCAGAAAGTCCTCAAGAACGAGAAAGCCGACCAAAAGACTATTCCATAACCGACTCTTGTTGCCGAATCGAGGGGGCTTGGCTGGTACCAGGCTCTAAAAGAGTTTTCTTCGAGCGAGCGGTCTTTCTATCTTTTTGGGTTGCATGCCCAAGGCAATGTTTTTTGTAGATTGAGATGGATTGATCTTCGCTATCGTGCCTCCTCTTTGTACCAGTTGATGCTGCGGCAGTGCTTAATATGAGTTTGCTCCTGCCCCAGACAGCTTCGAGGTTCCCATCGATCGATTAGAGAGGTTTCAATCACTGAACTTGCTTATGCTCCCCTTTGATCGAGTGCTATTTCTATAATATAAAAAAGATTGAGTAGGCAATTTTTGAATTGGCTTCAATCGAGATTGCCTCGGCTTCTTAGGCACATGAGGAACCGACCTAACATCTTTTCAATCGAAATCCCAATCAAAGACAAGTTCTACCAAGGCCAGGATCTGAAAGAGAAGATTCACTTTCCGAAATTCCAAGTGACATGATTCCTTCAGAAGCTAAAGTTGAATGATCGAAGTCTCCTTTAGGTTCAGTCGAAGAGATCGAAGCGAAGTCATAAATTCAACCATTCGAATGGTCTCCCCTAAGACTGACCTCTTTTCCAAATGAACCGAACCTCGATACCACATTCATCAAAGAGATATGGCCATCTCTCTAGGTTGCATAACCCTTTAGATCGTTCTATTCGTGCTTGAAAAACGACCCCATCGGTCCGCTCCTTTTAATGGAAATTCTTAGCCGTCCTCCGAGGGTTAAGACCCCATAATAGATCAGATCGTGAACTCTTTCAGACCCTTAGTTTCACTTGGTTGGGGCAGAGTTTCAGCCTTCCTTCCACCGAATATAAAAAACCTTAGAGCTGCCTAACCTGCTGACATCCCGGCGAAGAGAGTCATTATTTGTGTCACATCTTCGAATTCGAGAGAAGGCTCTCCTGTTATCTCTCAAATTATAGGCATTGAAGCGATCGAGCGAGAGAAAGAAAGAAAATGCACACGCCCCTCATTCGCCCTTTACTAATATAATAGAAGGTAAGGCAAAAGCGAGAGTGAAACTACGAGCTAAAAGCAGGCGTGCCCTATTATAAGATAATATGATACCATCCCCCACCTTTGGCGCACTTGTTTGATGAGCTAAGCCTAAGCGCCCTATAAGTCAAAAGCTAGCCTTACAACTAAAAGCAAGGTCGAAATCAATCCCTCTTTTTCCTGTGCTTTACTAGTAGGGCTAATGAACGACCCTTTGATCTATGTCGTTCCAAGTTCAGCCAGGTCTGATTAGTTGTTCAAAAATGAGTGGAGCGAAGGACCGCGGTCATACTTTTAAACGAGATGACCTGAGACCTGGGGCGATTGATCGATTCCCCCGTTGACTCGAATTCTTCGTTCCCGAAGGATACCAGTACCAGACTAATAGAATCGTCGAGCACTATAATCCGACGGGCCGACCTAGTGATAGGAAGAGAAAGAGCAGATCGCAACTCGCAACTGGCGAGCGATCTATTGGCTCTCTGTTAGAGGAACCCGAAAGGCGAATTCAGGCACAATCTAAGGATTGATAGATCGATTGGAGATTGATTGAGTGCCCTATTAGAGAAGGCCGATGGGTAGACCCAATATCTATCAGTACTCGCGATCTGGGGAGTACCCAGGGAACTCATAAGGCCTCTACATTGAGGGAAAACCTGCTCTACGTGAAAAAGGAGACGTGCACTTTTGCATAACCTCTGTTTTCCTTGGGCATTGGAACAATCACAAATGTAGGAAGGAACTGGTTGATATAAGAAGATCTCTGACCATATGGTCTTAAGTTGAGTATAGTACTAAGCAATAGTCATATCCCACTAACTAAGATTTGGAACTTCTTATTCAAGCTGGAATATCTTAGCTTCATTTCCTCTGGAATAAAGATCATGGAGATAAGACCATACCTATTTAACCGATGCCATAAACATCAGACTGGTAGCAATTGTGGGCTCAATTGCATTGAGAAGCCATGACATGACCAGCTGATTTGTGGCACTCCAGTCAGCCATCTTGGTATCACTCATATTGGGGATCTCAGAGACAGAAGGACAGCGGGCTGATCCATGAAGCTCCATAAACGCTTTCCTCCAATGAACAAACAAAGCGAGCGAGCCCAATGCAAAGAACTCAAGTGAGGAGATCTGGTTACCTTTTATAATACGTAATACGAGGAGGCAATGAATATAGAATGGTTGTATACCGAGGCAATGCTATTATTCTTTTTAGCCAAAAGCCTATTCTTTATGGTGTGCCAGTTGCTGATCATAATCCCTAAAAATAGAGGTAAACGGGACGGAAAGTAAATCAGATAAGAAGATAAGGGGCGAGAGGTAGCGGTTCCGTGGTTTTTCGGGTAGAGGAGATCACTATGAAGAATAAAAGGCATCAGAAGAGGTTTTTATCCCAATAGGGAGCATTTGGGAACTCCTTTCTATCCTTGTCCCTTGCCGGCTAGAGCCATGGAGCTAAAGGAATATTTTTTTGTCGCTTATGACTTAGTCCTGACCAAGCAAGGCCTCTTTTAGATTGACTGTTGGCAGATCGAGATTGAAAGCCAGTAGCAACGAAGTGCTTTCACCTCTTGTAGTAGATCCGTCTAGTCGACGATCCTTATTTCTTGCTGTCTAGTCTCCCTTTCTTCGCTTGTGAAGAAGCTTGGCTAGTTCTTTTTTTCGGACATTCTGTTCATCCTTTTTTTCCTTTATAAGGTGAGCTTCAATGCCCCTAGTCAGGAGGCGAGCGCTAAAAGCGCGCTGAGTGGCCTTTTTCGTGCTTTTATTATCGCTAGTTTAGTTTGGAGCTGTTAGGAAAGAGCCTGCGTTACTGTTTATTTTATTTGCCTTAAACACCGCGCTATTGAGCGTATAGAGCTTTTTAGAGTTGAGCTAAGGGGGCCCGAACCTGCTCTTGCTCTTTGGGGTTCATAATTGTCTGTGGGGTGGATATGGAATTTTTCTTTAAGCTGGCGTATGTCCTTTAGTTCAAGAAGGTGGACACGGCATTGCTCTAGATGAGGATAGATGCGTATGGTATAGGAATCGGGAAGAGAAGATCAAAACCTTCCACTCCAGTTTTTAGGACCACATAGACAGTATGCCCCGATTTCGTTTAGGACAGAATTTCTTGGTACCGTTCGTTTTGCGGTTAGTGTCAAGGTGGCAATGACACCTTTTGTATAGCGCCTTTCTTTCTCGTCTTTATGTTTTTTCCCCTTACGCGAGACGCTGCCGAGTCCTTCCACAAGACAGAGATTCATCATGGCAAGGGCATATCGACGTGCATGACCCATCTGCACTAAAGCGCTTAATGTTTACAGCTAGGTTCGCATTTGGCTTAAGTAGCCGAGTGGTCGCTTCCACTATAACGCTTGCCTACCTGAGAGATAGCGGTATTCGGTTTTCTGTAGTGATCGCTGTCACCATACTCGCCTAGCTAATCCGATATTGGCATCTAGGAGTAGTGCTGCCATAAGAGAGTGCTGCAAGCCCTCTCTCACGGAAGACCTCCTAATTCGTTTTACACGATCATCAGAAGGTGACGATGAAAGAGGCCCACGAGCCCCGCCGTATCAAGGCGTACATCCGTGTGATCGAGACTCTACGAAACTATACGATACCGCTGAAAGCAGAAACCGTAACTAGCACAATTCCTTGCTTCTTAACTTAATAAGGCTAAAAAAAGGGTAATGTAGAAATGATTGAAAAAAGGACTAACCCCCCCTTTCGGAATCCACTCGAACGGAAGCTTGGTAAACTTTTGTTAAGTTAAAGCTAAAACAAGATATAGAATAGAATCTCACGGTTCTAGAACAGCAGCGGCTTACCAGCTGCTGAAAGCGGTTCCGGGTCACCACTCGGGCAACTGACTGATCAGGGTCTGTCTCTCCAATGAATGGTTCTGCTCCTGTATTTTTCCCTAGCTATTGTTGCTTATACTCGGGTCGATCGGCCATAACCACTTCCAGCAGGAATCGCTACAACCAACGTTCTTTAATTCGGTAATCTAATGGAGGGGGAATGGTCGCCGGTGGGTCATTCGCTAGATCGAGATCGTAATCAACCGCATTGCACGAACTGCATCATAGATAGAGATCGAGGTACCAATCGACTGCATCTCTTTCCGGCTATTCAATAAAGTAGATGAGGGGAGTCCACTCCATACGCATCCACCCCGGGAGAAGGGTTTTGATCAACCAACCACGCCCATTATATATACCCCTCTCGATCCACCAATAGTGGGCATGGAGGATGGGGAAAGAAGATCAGACTCGGTTGACTTACTCACTGCCGGCGAATTCCAGAGATCGCATTATTAACTAGACAGGCATGCATGGAAAAGAGGATTAAGTTGACGGATAGTTTCTTAAATGCTCTACTTCTAGGCGGAAAGACATCGCGAGTCACGGGCGAGGAACCATTCTCCTCACCGGAGATTTAGTCAGTTAGGTTTCACCCGAGTGACGGGATGGCACCCAATAGAGAAGGGGACCTCTAGTTAGGCAAGCACTGATGAGGGGGGCGTGTGGGTTAGTCCTTTCTGGTTCCCGCGAAACTAAGGTAACCACCGCAGAGCAGAGGAGTCCACTGTGACAGCCACCTTCCTATGGCCCTCCATCCATGCTATCATCAAGCCATGGTACAGGGACCATAATTCAGCAGCTGTAACTGAGCATATTCCGAGGTTTAGGCCAAAGAAATGCTGGTGAAGGTTGTGAGGGATGAGTTGCTCCCACACTGGCCTTGCCATAGGGCAGTCCCTTAGAATGTGTAGGCAGTTTTCCACTGGGAATCCACAGCTTTTGCACGAGCAATCAGTGGTTAAGTGCCTGGTAAGACGCACTTTATTTGTTAACAATCTGTCTTGTCTGGCTAGCCAAAAGAAGTGCTTTAGTTTAGGCGGGATCTTACCCTTCTAGAGACTCACCCACTATGCCTCTTCATCACAACTGGCTTCTTCCTCCAAGAGATCATATGCAGCTTTTGAATGGAAATTTGCCATTATTGGACCCTTTCCAGCTCATAGTATCTGGGCAGCTGTCCTCTGTGGATATATGGATGGCACGTATACATTTGATCACATCTTCAGGTAACCAATGAGAGAAGCTTTCCTAGTTCCAACTGCCTCTTCCATCTGTGTAGTCCCAGATTTGAGAGTCCATTTCCTCAGCTGGTATAGTGCCCAAAGCGCAGGCTAACAACGGTTGGTCCCCTATCCATAGATCTTTCCAGAACTTTCTTGTTTTCCCATCTCCCACAATCCACTTAGTTCCTTTCTTCAGCAACTCTTGACCCCTGAGAACGCTCCTCCATGTATATGAAGAGTTAGAAGTGGCCTTGCATTCCAGCAAACTTGAATTCTTTGGATACTTTCCTTTTAGCACTGCAGCCCATAATGAGTCTGGTTCAGAGAGGATTTTCTGTCCCATACGTGCCATTGAGGCAGTGTTGACCTTGCTCATGCTCCTTAGGCCTAGGCCCCCTTCCCTTTTTTTCTTTACACACCTTATCCCAAGCCACTAAATGTTTCCTCTTTTTGTTATCCTTGTTCCCCCACCCACACAAATCTGCAGTTCCTCCTATCTATTTCCTGGTTTATGGCTTCCGGAATACGCGTTGTTTGCTATGGTGTATACAGGTATAGCAGAGGTTACAGACTGAACCAGCAATGTTCTTCCAGCCATAGACAACTGCTCTGCCTTCCATCCAGCCAACCTATCTTGCACTTTTTCGAGTATGTGGTAGTAAGTCGTTTTAGAGACCCTCTTGTGTATGAGGGGTACTCCCAGGTACTTGCCTAGGTCTGCAGTGAGAGGAATTTGACATCTAGCACTGATCTCCCGAGCTGTAAGCTTGTGGAAGTTGGGTGAAACAAACAATTTTTCTAAACATAATACAAACAGGTAGGGGGACAAAGGATCCCCCTGTCTTAGGCCCCTGCCAGGTGTGAAAGATTCCGTAGTTTCCCCATTCCATAGAACTGAAAGCCTTGTGGTAGTGATACATTCCATTATCAAGGAAATAAAATTCTGAGGTAGGCCAATTTCCTTAGCAGTTTGATTATCCATTTCGGGTTGTGATCGCATTTCCGTGACTTAGATACTGAAATTAGCTCCTACTCCTCCTCCTTCTCAGTACGAGATAAATGGAATAGAAAGCAACAATCTAAAGCATTGGTACCGCCCATTGGAATGCCTCTTTCTCACAGGCCGGATTGAGGAGTCTTTCATAAGTTGACTCCCGTCCCTAAACAAAGCACCAGTAAGCCTTTGCTCCCCCCTAATAGATTGACATTTCGAAATGACAAAGTTGAGAAAGACCGTCCATGTCTATTAACATCAAGGTGCGCTACCGTGTCCTTATGACGCATGGCCTATCTTATGATATAGAAAGCCAAAACACGAACCTGACACTTTTGATATGCCAACCCGAACCTTCACTCCGATCGCCCTCACTGCCCTTGGTCTCATTGAAGACGCTCCTTCGTGTCCGCCCTTCTCTTTTGTTTTGGCATCCTCCCTTCAATCACGCCCACTATCAATGAGTTATTAATAACCTCGTTAGAGAAGAGAAAGGGATATGATTAACTAGTAACTAGTCTCTAGCGGAACGGCTAAGCCCAGCAAATGAACCTTCTACTAACTAATTCAAACTAGTCCGAGAGTGCCTGAGAAGGAGGATCGATCTTCTATATGCTAGTTCTTGCCGATCTTGGGGCATCATTAAGAATGGAATCGCTTCTTCCAGCTCTGGATAGGCGAAATTCCCTCTTATCAATTGCTCTTGTTTTAGTTGAATGATTTGCCTTGTCCTCTTCTGATTCAACCTCGTCGGTGCCACCAAAGAAAGAGGCCCCACATCCCAGTGCCTTACCTTACCCTATTGCTACTGCTATTGTTGGGGAAAGTGGCACTAATTTCGTGTCTGATTCGATGCCATCTTATTATATTCAGTTGCTTCTGTCTTCTCCCTTAAGCTTGCATTCTCTTCCTATTCCTTGTGTTGTGTAAGAGTCAAGACCAGTGGACATTTCTAAATAGTAAATAGCCCACGTTCAAACTACAAACTAGTCGAACGACAGCCTGCCTTATTCTTCTCCCGTTCGTTACTCCTATTTTCTCGGAGATAGCCTGGTCGTTCTCGGCTTAAGCCTTGAGCTAGAACAGCAGATTCGTGAGCAAGAGCAGCTTGCCCAAGAACAAGAAAGAGATATGCGAAATCAACCAAGACAAGCACACCGCAACCAACAGGTAATCCCGCATCTGATTGTTCATTGAGTGCAATGAAGATGGAGGAAGCAAATGTAGAAAAAGAACAAGCAATCAATGGATAGGAAGCAATCAAGTTTCTTAGTGAGTATGGTAATCTGGATAGGCAGTCTGGTGGGAGATAGAATCCCACCTTTCTTAGGTGGGTATGAGTGTATCTTGATAGCCCATGATCAAAGAGATAGGTATGATAAATTCAAATGATAAGACACATTCTTGTTTTTGGCTTGCAATAAAGCTAGGGTCCTGATCGAGCAACTAGTAGTCCTATCTATCCACCTCTCCAAACACAATATCTTGAGTACACAATTAAGACTTGAAGTTCGTTTACACAGTACGAGAAAGACAATTATAAAGAACGATATAGGCATTTATCCCATCCAAAAACCGAGAAAGACACCTACGTTACACTAACAGGAGCGCGCTTCTTTAGTCAAAACAAAAATACATTATGAAATGAACCCACATATAAAATAAAAGTGGGCTGGTCTGCTCATTATTTTCGTACATTTATTCATTATTGCAATACAAATAACACCTCCACTATACTAGTGATGGAGGCGCGCCGGATGGAACAAGGCGTTTTGAACCATATAATGTTGCTGCTGGAATGAAACGCAGCCTCGGAACAGAATTCCCCCGCTTGCTGGGCCCTGATGGTGGAACTGGCATTTTTGGGGGGAAGAAAGCGGCCCCCTTTTGCGGCAGAGTGGGCAGCATCGCTTTTTCTCGTGTAGCTATGATGCCATTCAGAAACAACACAAGAAGAAGAAAAAAAAGCAGTATTTCGCGGATTCTTGCCATCACTGGAAAACTAATTGAGCTGTAGGCATCAAGGTAAGGGACCGAGATTATATACTGCTGCAGAAGCGGAATCGAAGGGGTTGGTTGAAAGGTAAGGATAGCATGATTGACTGGTTGCGGGTCCTTTGGATCATGGGCCACAGCTACTTGGGTAGAGACCGCTGAACATCATTTGGACAGGCCGAGGCTATATGGGCTTAGGCGGGGAGTGATTCTCCATCATGTAGTCTGTCCAGGTTACAATTCGGGGTTGACTTTGCTTGTTACCGATCCGAAGTTGGTGTCTAAACTGGCTGCCAAGCTGAAACTTCCTTTTTTCAAAAAGTAGATGAAAAAGTGGACGGGTATTGAATTGTTCTTAGCTTGGCGCGCTTGCTTCCCTCTAAAGAAGCCCAACCGTAAGGCTTTGAAGTGTTAGGTGAATCACTCAATTCTTTCCGTACCGCCCTCTCTCGAAGCAGTATTTCCCTCAGCAGCATTTCCAGTTTATTCCGAACTAACATATAAAGTTTCTCCTAAACCAAAGGATCCCTTTTCTCCCGCGGATTCCGTCCCGAATCAACATCAAAAGCTTTTTAGCTAGGTCAGTCATAGGGTTATTTCCAGTCTAGAATCAACACCAAACAAAGCTTCACCTTAACTACGTACAAGGTACCGGTGAAAGCCCTGACCGTGGTGGACGCATGCACTCGCAACACAAAAGTAAAGCGAAAGATGCCCCTTATCCCCCTGAACAAACTAGCTCAATAGGGCAACCCACTTTGACAACTTGAAGAATACAGCGAGCCCTTAGCAGCGATTGAGCGTACAGATCAATCCGTCACTAGAGTCACCTCCAACGGTAATTGATCCCAACCATAAACTGAAGCCCTTCATTTATCTTTAAGGACAAAGCAGGTCCACTACCGCATCAGCAGCAATAGCACGGCATGAGAGAGACTTCCTGCAGCCCAAGTAAGAACAAAAGAATTGGAGCATTCCATCAGATAGGACGACCTACTCCTTAGTTGAACCAGACTTTGCCACTCACCTTCATCCGAATAAGGAAGATAAGGATACAATATACGGAATAAACTGGTACAACGAGTCCAGCTGAACCACCCAGATCAGCTTCTTTCATCAAGCAACACAGCCGGGACTAACCCGAGCCCGAGTTCGTATTGGTCAATTTCGGGTCAGCAAGCAAAGGGAGCACCCAAGTTCTACTTGCATATAGAAGTGGATCGGACATTCATCTCGCTATGGTTAGCTCCGACTCCTTCTTCACTTTACCCCTTATACGAGGCCTTTTTTAAAGCCGCTTGGCAAAGAAAAGAACGTCAGAGCGGTTTCGAAGCGAGATTGTCGTTTATTTACTCTGACTCCGCTTCCGAATCAACTAAACAAAAAGCTTCTACCACGATATTTCACGCAGCAGAAACAACCTTCACACCTTAACTAACTTAAGCAAAGCAGCACACCCGAGAAAGGTCCCGTGTCCATGAGAAAAACAGTAAGAAAGAGAGCGGATCACTTCCCCAAGAATCATGGGCACTACAGAACAGCCGGTACCCATCTGCTCAATTATAGTACTGATGTGGCCGTCTATCAAGCCAGGCTCTCCAGGAAAGACGACAGTCCCGTAAATGGCAAGGGCAAGAGCTTGTAATCGATGACGAGCCCAAAGTTTCCCGTCAACAAAATCTTCTTGGTACGCTGTAGGACAGGAATCAGAGGCAAAGTGCCTAAGTAAGAAGTCCAACGAACATTTCACAGTGGTATCGTCATTTCCTGAGGAGAATTAAAGCTTAGAACGGCGAATTCCAAGCACATCACTCAAGCCCCTCTTTCCTCCGCGGCCAAAAGGAAGCACGAGCATGTCAGTATCATGAGAAAGGCCCAGAAGACGAGAAAACTCCTCCAGGGTGGGAACCAGTTCAAAGCTACCAAAACGGAAGCAAACCGCATCCCTGTCCGAAGCACTTATCAAGGCTTCAATTAAGGGGCAATGCACCTTGACCCGGAGGAGCCAAGTAAGGTTCCCATATGTGGCATGAAATGTCTGACGATCATCAAGAGACAGATTCTTTGCCCCTCTGCTTGATCTTCTCTTTCTCGAGGAATAGGATATTTAAACCAGACGGGGCAGAGCTCGTACTAATAATAGCTAGAAACCCGAGGGGCATTCTGGAATCTTGGCAGAGTAACCCCGATAAGACAACCTGGAGGGAATTCCTGCGATAGTCCTTCTTTCAAACTCGGTCAATCAGTTTGCGGGAAAGAGACAAGAAAGCGTAGCGGGATAGCAGGAAAAGCAAGCCAAAAGGAACCTTAATGACCAATCACCACTAACAGACAGACCCGAAGCTTATGAGAACGTAGTGACCCGGAAAGATGAATAGAACCGAACTAGCAACAAGAATGGGAGTTTTTGAAGAGAACCCATGACAAAGAAAGCGTTGATTTGGGATCTTATTTCAATTGTATCAGTCATTACATGCAAACGGTATATGTGACATGAGAAAGTATCCTCAATCAATCTAATCTACGAGGTAATGTGTTACGGTCTCACTACTTCTAGAATCTAGAGGTAGGCAAGATGGTACTGAGTAGAAAGAAACAACTTCATGGTTCATCAAATATGATTCATATTTGGTATTGGGCTTGGAGTAGCTCTGTCTATGAAAACCAGTATCTAGTGTGGCCGTTGGAGATTTAGTAAGTCTTTCCTTTTATCAAATAGGGCTGACTCGCAGCAAGTGCAATTGATGGTTCTTAACCCAGCCCGACTGTTAAAATGTTTAAATCTATCTCCTCCTCGCTATGCTCGGCTCACTCAATTCCTTACAGTCGACTAGCTGTGTGCTCTTCAATCCAGCCATTCCTGCCATTGAAGAAGACTGAGACTTGAGGCAAAAAAACCCCCGCTTTTGGAAGTATAGCAAGTGTGCCGGAAGTCAGAAAGGCTGCTCGATTGCAAGAAAGAAAACTGCTAAAGCAGTAAGATATATTGTATATGATGTAATGGATGGTCGGGCTCAACAGCACCTCTTCACCCCTCTAGGTCGTGGCCGAAAGGTCATACAGTCGAGTTACTTCGAAACCTCTCGTTGACTGAATGAAGCCCTTTTACCATGTTCAGCAGAGCAGAGTACCGTGGAGGGATTAGCCGCATTCCTCTTCATCACGCTAACAGCCTAAACTCTTCCTACCTTTGAATCATTCCTATAGTGTAGCTACCCCTCTTTGATCCAATCAATAATTCAAAAAGAAGAGAGCCAAAGAACCTACTTCTCTTAACCATCATGAGATTTGGTAGGCTATGGATAGACTAGCAGCTTGCTTAGCTTAGACCAAGTTGAGTTCTTCAGTCTTACGTGTAGGGGAGGGACCGTCCCCACTAGTTCAGCAATCCACCGGAAAAGGCAATGGAAATGAAATGAAAATAAAATGAAGTTGCTTCGTCCTTTTGAAATAGGGTCGCTCATACATCAGTTCTGTCCCAAGCATTAATAGAGAAATCAGCCCTCAATAGGCTAAGTAAGCCTATACCGAATAAGCCCTCCTGGAATATCCTGCTTTTTTCCTTTTGCAGAATTGTCTGCCTTTCTCTTTTCGCCAACCACAAATCAGGATTCAATTGTAATTTAAGGAAGATAGAGAAGAAGTGGAAGTCTTGGGCCTTCACTTCAATTCCATTTCCAATAGAAAGAGAATCGGGTTAAGCCAATCGACGTAAAAGAACGAAGGATAGCTTTTCCTATCGGGTAGACTGACCAAGCATGGGATGGGTTTTTGATCGAAATAGAGAGCTTCCTCCTGCTGGATAGAAATCCGATCTAGACTTTTTCAAGACAGATGCCAGTGTGAACTGAACACCTTTTGTTGTTACATTTTGCAACATCCTGAATTGCACTTCCAACAGCACACATCATTCCACAACCAAGGCATGCCGTATCGGCCTAGTACTCGGATTCATAATGGACGTACCTTACTTCTAGCGGTAACAGAGGTAGCGAAAGCCAGGCCTTCTTCTTCTTCTTCGAATTTCGAATCTTGTTTTGGAAATCGACTTCGCCGAACCAGCACGTCCAAGGTGAGAGCCTTCAAGTAGAGCAGCAAGACGAGTAGCATTAGAGGCAGAGCTAGAGTGGGCAGGACAAACAGTCCGGCTGGACAGCTGAGGTAAGTAATGGCACACAGTCAATAAGAGGCAACAGCCGAGACAGGGCCTCTGACGAAGAGTAGTCGAGCTGAGGACAGCTCTTCTTAGAAAGTAGGGACCGGGTGAAAGTCTATCTTTGAGAATAGCAAATTTCCATCATTCAAAGTAGAAACTCAGAGGCATGCCTCAGCCAAGTCCCGATATTCTTTCTGAAGGTGAAATAGGAACTAAAAAGAGGCTCATTAATTAAAGGATGGGACACGGTCCTGCAGGAGGTGCTTTCAGAGGAGAATTCTCCCGGATCAGCATCTGAGTCAGTGTCATACTATTCATGATCAATTATTTCAACCAGAGACGAGGAAGATACCTAGTAGTTAAAAAGACCTTAAAAAGGGCTATAGGCCAGCCTAACATAAAGAGGAATAATCGTACTACCCACATTGTTTGCCTTTCGACAGAAACCTTAACCGTAGTAGGCGAGCAGGTAAACTAGTTGGGCTGTTTCCAGAGGCATTCTTTAAAGCATCAAAACTAAGTGTTTCACTGGCAGTCCCCGGGAAAGCTGTCTCGACCCGGCCAAAAAACGCAATTTCGACTCATCAAGATTCAATCTATTTAGGGGGTGCCCGACCCAGGTATAGATTTTGGTCTTCTTCGTATGGGATATAACCCCGCAAGGTGGAGTACCGTACCACAAGGAAGGAGGCCCTCCATACTTCAAAGTCAATGCCTATGATTAATGTTGTCAATAGTCTGTCACGTCGTCTCGATCCTCAAAGGAAATGGGCGCTACCATAGTCAAAAAAGAGTGAAATATTCCCACCTATCCATCGATTGGTCATCCCAGTTTTGGTACTCCATATTGATATTGTCGGGGCACCCTTCTTTAGGGTATGACCCAGGAGCGGAGCAAAGACAACCTATCTTGCTGCTAGGAGTGCCTACCCAATAGCGGATTCTTTTTATTATGCTGATATGTTATGATAACCCCACATCAAGTGGTGGAGAGACAAACCGCATTTTAGGAAAGATTTCCCCGGATTCCTACACGACTTGTTGAGGCAAATCCGCTTTTTATTGTGCCACTAGGCTAGTCCAAATGGAATTAGTCAATGAAAGCGAAGCTAACCTTGTCTGCCCGCCTCAGGAACATTCTAATCAATGGTCTCGGGAATTTTCTACGATAGGTCTCACAAGACTATAAGTCAATTTCTAATCACTAGTAATCGAGACGGGATGAGTCGATGCCAGGTGCTATGCTTGTCCGCTAAGGGCGGTGGGGAAGGTCATAGTGAAAGCAGCAAGCTGGAAAGTAGCCGCCCCTCTTTGATTGTGCACAGCCCCTGCCACGAGACACCTAATCGAAGAAGCGCCTTCCTATCCATGCAATAGGGCTATTCGATAGCACCCTGTCGCGCGAGCCTTGTCTTTGTGCGTGCCACGCTGTGCCACATCCGTCTTGGTAGAGTTACGCCATTCTTTTCTTCCTTCTCGCTGCTTGAAGACGCTAGAGCTGCGCCGGCTGAGCCGCTTCTTTTGCTGCCCTGTGCCCAAAAAAGCCCTATAGAGATGGGCGGTGTGCAATACCCGCCAATGGAGATTAAATGTTTAGGACGACGAAACTGTATAATGAGAAAATGGAGTGGATTTGTTTACCTTCGATTCGAACTTGATCAATGGATACGGGAAAGACTCAACAAGAAAACTAAGAGTAAGAGCTAATACCTGGCGAATACCTGCTCCAACCTCTGAGTTCCAGACTCGAGCCTCCTACTATTGGATTTCGATTATCTAATTTTGAAGACCATATTCAACTGATGAAAGAAGTCCGAATACCTTTAGTAGTAGTCCACTTATAAAGTAGCTCGCCTGCAGCAGTAGTCAACCTGCCAAGTCAAATGGAGTTCTCGAGCAGGAAAGCTCATCGCGAGGTAACGAACGAGTCGAAACGGATGGTAGGAAGACATATTTACAGAAGCGATGGAGACAGAAGAGGAATATCTTTTTTACTGAAATGACTTCAATCGTTTAACGAGAATTGCCCTATTGCGCCAATAATAGAGTTAAGAATTCCTTACTCAGAAGTACAGTAATAGAATAGTGCGAAAGGCAAGGACATGCGGGAAGAGAACTATTATAAAAGAAAGAAATCGTAATGAGGGAAAGGACCGATACCGAGACCAATTGAGATAGTTACGAATCGATCTATTTAAGACAGAAAGACGGGAATAGAACAGAAAGAAGTGATCGTGGACGGATTGACCAGTTACGGGAGACTTCTTAGATTACAGCTCGAACCTTATTCGCTAACAAGCCAAGGGCCAGAAGAGAGGAAGTATTTCAAGACAACAAGGGCTGGAGATATTCGTAATACTGAAATCGAGAAAGTGATGCCTATCTACCTCAGAACCAACTATCGACTGGGAGAGTTTCCGGAAGAAAGATTCAAGAAAAGCAGAAGAGCAACTGCTAGCGGAAGAGCTACTATCAGGAGAGCTAGAGCTCCTAGGCAAGCAAAAGAGAGACTGAAAGCGATTCACCGGATTGACTGACTGAATAGGACAGATGCGAGCGATAGACGAGAGTTGACCGAAGACCGTAGACAGCAACTGATTCCAAGAAGGGAATTGCTATCGAAGCGCTCAAGCAAGAAGAGAGCGTCATGAACAAGCAAGAAGGAGTCTTTGCCTAAGCAATGGATTCGCGGGCATTCCTCTTTTCTTAATAGAAAGTCTCACTCCATAGGCCTAAAAAAGCCCTTTTCGATAGTTATTTAATTACTCCCACCTAGAAGACGCTTTCACACGGCTTCTTCTTACACTAAAAGAAATGGCTTACGAGACGAAGTCCTGCACTCCAGAAGTATTGAAACTATTGAAAGCAAAGACCCTAGGCAAGAAGGGACTAGAGTGCGAAAGGGGAGGGAAACTCATACAAAAAGATTGATAACAATGTGCCAACCCTTACAAAGAGCTTCTTTAGAGAAGCGATGAACGCGATTCACCGATAAAGAAGGAGGCTGCGGGCAGGGCATGGGATATTGAATGAAAAGAAAAGTAATTCGTTACAAGGGATGAGCTAACTAGCACGGGATAAAGGACGGACAGACCACAGAGATGAGCTCGAAGGGCAGATCAGACGGACAGCCGATAAACGAGCAGGAGACTTTCCCCGGGAAGATCCTTATAAAGGACTAAGTCAGTCCCATACATCCCCTTATCTTGCGTACCAGAAGAAGAAGCAACTAATGCCCGTAGGAAGGCATGGAATGAAGCAACTGACTGCTCAACAAAGCCCGAAGAAGAAGTTGGAAATACGAGCTGCAGCAAGAATCCCCTTTCTGCTTATATAGTAGATCAATAGCTTGTGAAGACTAGTAGCCCTTCCAGAGGACGAGCCAATATGCCAATATAGAGTAGACTACAATAGAAGAGCAATTGCAGGAGTTGGACAGATCAGGTCTTAAAGGCAAATTAAAGCATCTTTACTGGAGCCTATTGTCCTTGTTGCTTGCAGAAGACTCACTCGAGCAGGCCCCTTCTTACTAAGCTAAGATTGACATATAAGCAACTCTTGACAGAAAAGGGGAGCTATAGCAACTGTGCTTTAAGTCTTGAGCTAGTACTATGAATGAACTAACTAAGCCCGGGGAATGAACTCAATACCTCAATACAGTACATATAGGATTGTGAAAACCCAGGGGATTATCTCAATACAGATAGGATTTTTTTGGAGAAGGAGATCGAGACCGCTCGAAAGCTACGGCACGGACATGATTCCATGAGGTTCACCCTTTGCTTTTGTTACGGGATCAACAAAATATATATATATAGGGTCTGTCAGACACATAGCCAAACGAAGCGTGTCATCAGTGGTCTATTAATATAGATGTAGCCGATAATGAAGAGTAGAAAGAGATATAGAAAGCATGCTGCGTGGAATATTTATAGGTAGCCAGTCTTTACTTAACTCGACCCAAGCACTGCCCAAAGACTCCCGTGCCTTCTGTTGGTCAACAACCAATTACTACTCATACAATCTTCCATACTAGATTCACTACTCATAGAGGTAGAGGAAGGAAACGAAAGAATCTCAATTTTATGTTATGGAGCTAGATATCGTTAAAGGCCTTGTGGCCTTATGTACTGTATCAACGACTTTCGTTTGTAAACGAATCCATAATAAACGAACAAGGGAAGAGGGAGGGCCATAAAGATAAAGACAAGGGAAATGGCTACCGAAAGAAAGGAAAGGCTTCTTCTCGAGCTGCCTGACTGCCCGGACGTACCTCTAGTCGGAATTAGTAAATAAAGCATAGGCACGAGCTAGACACCAACTGAGAATGGAGACGGAGAACCTTGGATGGACTTCTGAATTCCACCTTCAGTAATTCATCTGCACCTTCAAAGAGCGTCCTAAGAGTGTATTCTATTCGTGCCACAGTTGATTCTTGAACAAGGCATTGACGTCAACCTACTGCCAAGACCGTCTAAGGCGCAAAGAGCCTCTCCTACTACCTACCGGAAGCCTAATTCCCCCTCTTTCCAATTCTAGCTCTACGGTTGATTCGAGAAAGAGTAAGAAGGCATTCGTGACCAACCTAAGAGACCAATCCAAACCTCCCTCTCTACGATTATCTCCCTCCTGTTCGTGTGCACAAGCTATTTGTCCAATTCCGGGCACTGTAAGAACCGATTCTCTTCCAGGCAATAGGAGAAGCTCACCGGCGTCCCATAATGTATCATCTACTCAGTCCTTCCCCCCTGACTTGACTTTCCTAGCTACCAAGCCCCTCTTCAAACCCTTGCCAGAAGGACGATAGGAAAGATTCTCTGTGAGACCGCTTGAATAACGATAATCGGAGTAAAAAGCCTTAAAGAGAAAGCTTTAGCAACGGTAGGAGTTACTACTTACGCCAGCACCTGACGAGCTTACCAGAACCTTCTCCCGCAACAAGAAGAGTTTGCTTTGTCTTACCTCTGATTCTCCTTCGGACCCTCATTCTAATTTTGCTTTTCGTATTATGGATCTTGGCTTGTTGCTTTAGATAGATATTCCATTAATAAAGAGACATTAAGGAAGAGGCCTAAAGGATTGACAATGTAAAAGTTATTGAAGTAGATTGCTTGCTTCTTCTTTCCAGTGGACATCCTACATTCTACAGAGGGGAATCTCCGCTTGGAAGAAAGGATCACTGCTTAGGTAGCCGACCAAAAGATGGAAGGAAAGGGTCGAGCCTTCTGATCTGAATCTCTAACACTACTTAGATAGATGTATGTCCATTTCAGGCATAAAATAAAATCAAACGTTTGATCGGTATCATGACCTGGGAC